AAATATCCGCCTAAATAAAAGGACGACTACTGCGACTAACACTCACACGTGATTAGACACGCTTCTTCCTCTGCAGCGATTGGAAAAGAACTCCTTCTCGATACATGTATACTCTTTCTCTGGGGAGATGATACTTACTAGGCACTGTTAGTGAACTCTGGGCTCGCCATATGAGAAACATGAAGACTGTATGAAATGCGCCAACAGACTCCGACATCTGTCACATAGATAGGTGAAAGCATTATCCCATCGAGGACGCCATTCAATCCTGAAAACAAGACATCATTGGCTGGCCCTCGGACTTTCTATGGAGTTAAGTTTTAAGCCTATGAGGACCCCAAAGTCCGTCAGCTGGATGCATCATGTGCCAGCTTGAGGATTGCATGAGGCACAGTTCATGGAGATGCGTCATTGGCCAGCCTTACGTATCCGCAGCACTCCATGGTGTGCACACCTTCCCATAGCCTCTACGAACATGTCATCAGCTCGTAGGCAGGCTGAGCAGGCTGAGCCGATCTAGAAATAAATCTGTTACGGGGTTAACAGGTGCGTCTTCCCCCAAGTCCATCATTGCCGTTCCACTGTTATCAGCGAGAACCCGGATATAGAAGCTTCCCTGTCCTTTGTATGCACCTGTCAATCCCTCTCTCCAAATCTTTCAACCAAGCCGGCAATCTCGTATCGTGGAGAAATGCCTCCCCATAGTCTGAGACCGACCAGCGCGTTCACCGCTGACGTTGCACGACCACCACCTAACGGACGTGACGATCCACTTCTTAACGACTCTGGATCATTGACAAGTGACGAAGATGAGCCACCGATGCGATCATCAGAGGATAGACCACATCGTTCACCACCTTCGGTTTACAGCTTGATCTACGAGATTGTATCTCTCGTTCTTGCGGCAATCGCACTCTTTGGAGTCATCGTTCTGCTCCGAACCTACGATCGCAAGCCTAACCCCCGTTGGTCATTGGGGTCTTGGAGTGACAGTGTAACGCTTAATGCAATCATCTCTGTTCTTTCGACGGTGTTTCGGGCCAGTTTACTGCTCCCTGTTACGAGTTGCATTAGCCAATTCGGATGGATATGGTATACGCATCCGCGCGGCCGATCTCTAGATGACCTCTGCGCATATGATTCTGCCAGCAGAGGATCTTCCATCGGAAGCTTGTTGTTGCTATTCAAGTTACGCTCCATGTATGGTGTAAATTCTCAGTATTACTGTCGGGAGGCCAACTGACCAGTATGCGGCAGACATTTGGCTAGTATAGGCGCTTGGGTAGTCTTAGCAGCCACGGCACTTGGTCCATTTTTCCAACAAAGCGTCACGTTTATATCCATCTCCAACATCGACCCGCATTATAGTCCCAATGCAGAGGCAGTTACTTCGTATTCTTGGGGCGGCGATCTTGTAGGTTGGGCCGAGGTTGTCAATGCTCGTGAGTGCTTGTACCTCATTGCATTACAGGTTTTGTTTAACAAGAATCCAGATAATTCCATCCCTTACGACATTAAAGCGGCCATTCGGGCAGGACTGCTGGCTCCAAATCCTCTCTCAATTCCTACCCCGCCATTCATATGTCCGACTGGAAATTGCACGTGGGATCCCTTTGGTACTCTTGCTATCAGCTCAACGTACCACAATATCTCCTCTAGTGTACACCTGGATCCAGAAACTCGTCTCTTCTCTGCACCGAACGATAAGATCATTGATGATTTGCTGAACGGATCGTATACTTTAAGATTCGGTATCGATTCAACCTTGCCTAGATCGGTGTCGGAACTACTGGAGCCATTCGCGGAAATGACCGCAACAACAGCTATAGTTCAGTGGGTAACCCCCTTTCTTCCCTTCTAACTTTTCTTCTTCGCAGTTTGCCGCCTAGAGGCGTACCTTATTAACTGCTGTATAACTCTAACGGGGAAATATATAGAGGGAGCGTAACCTCTATAGCTAATTTATAAAATATATAAAAAAGACTTTTAAGCTATTTAACTAAATAGAAATAACCCCCTATTATACTATAGCTTAAATTTTAAACCCTCTAAGACAAATTTTATATATACTCCCTATTTAATTAATATAGCCCTTATTATTAGCGATATTATGTTACGGTCAGCTATCCGACAGTAGGGTCTGCTAACAGAAGCTGGGGATTGACACGTTATAACAGTACACGGGGTCGTGGTCTGGGTCGTAGGTCGTAGGCTGATAGTAGATCAGGTCTTCAGAGGCTAAGGTGATCAGTCTTAGACTCAACAAGTAATTCGCAGTGAAGGTAAGCTGAGAGTATCCGTGAGGATGAATACTAAGTTGATTGCTGAAGAGCTATGGAAGTCTGACCATGAGCCAGGCTCAGGTCATACTATATATAAGTCCTGCACAGTATCTCCTGTGGTGGCTATGTAGGATATCCGTGCTATCCAACATATCCATCTTTGCCCTGTATCCGTGCTAATCCCGAAGTCACGTGACCTGTACCATAGTTCTTCCTTTCCCGATGGTTCCTGGTTACACCTGTGTTACTGCTTACATATGTTCTGCGTTTAGCCGCCGAGATGCCAGGCGGGGCTGTTCCAACGTGTCATGCTTGTCGGGTCGTAATAGCTTAGTTATATCTTTATAACTAAAAATAACGATATAATATCTCTATACTTCTTTATCATATATATTAAGTTCTTAGAAAACTTTTAGAACTAAGTTCTCTATTAAGTTAAATAGAGATTTAAAAAGATCGCTAAAAACCTAAAAAATAAGAATCATATAAAAGAGATTAATAGGATATTTAATAAAAAGTATAGCGAATAGCTCTAAAAGTTGATCGCTATTATTACCCTTATCTAAGTTATAATATAGTAGTTAATATTACAACCCGTTATGCATGGATAACAGTTGACCGACCCCACTGTTACGACCGATGCAGTTGGTCACTGTAGGCTCGTAACTATATAGTGCAGAACAGGGGACAATGACAACAGATTTGTTATTATCGAAGCTTTTGCTTTGTGCCACAGTTGGTTGCCCTGACCCGCTCGTAACACCCACTTAGGCGTCGGGCGGCTAGGACAGGACATTTATACTCTGTAGGATCATGGGAACAACAGGGACTCACTTAGAATAGAAGAACTATAGTATAAGTCACGTGATGATAAGAAGGACCAACAAGAGATAAGCGGTCCTGACCTAGGACCGACATGAAGAAAGCGGTCCACACCTAGGGACCGCTCAGAAAGACATCAGTCCTCAGAATAAGGAGATTACCTTAGACTGTATATAGTATGACCCTGAGCCTGGCTTATGGTCAGACTTCCATAGCTCTTCAGCAATCAACTTAGTATTTATCCTCACAGATACTCTCAGCTTACCTTCACTACAAATCACTTATTAAGTCTAAGACTGATCACCTTAGCCTCTAAAGACCCAATCTACTACAGCCTACGAACTACGACCTACGACCACGACCCAGTGTACTGTTAGAGCGTATCAATCCCCAGCTTCTGTTAGCAGACCCTACTGTCGGATAGCTGACCGTAATATTAAAGAGACTAGCTTAGGTTAGGGTAGAGGAAAAAAAGGTCCTTATATTCCCTTTAGTTATACAAAAATTCACAAAAGATTTCTTCACAAACTGGTTCAGTGGGTAAAGGAAACCCCTTTGCATATTAATCCCAAGCAGTTTAATCCAACGATTGAGGCTTTCAGATGCGCTATATACTTTTGCCTAAGAAATGTGCGGCCAAGCGTCACGAATGGAGTATACTCGGAGGAAACTCTTGAAGAAGTCGTGCGCGCTGAGAACGCTCAGAACGTGACCAAATTCAAGAGCAACGGAACGACTATTGCGGATCCACACATTGAATCCTGGCGCCTTGCTGGCTTGATATATCGCCTCAAACAGACTTCGTCGAACGCGAATAGTACCTTTGTCGTGCCTCACAATGGATTTGTCGCTATGCCAAGTCAATTTGGCATCGATCCAGACTTCTTAAAAGGCACGGCAGGGATAGCCAGTGCCGCCGATCAACTCATGGGCGATAGTATTCCAGCTATTCTTTACAACGCCAACGATACAGTTCTTGCGATACAGAACATGGCGGATTCAGTCACAACTCAAATGCGGATGAACAGGTCTATTGTAATTCGAAACAAGGACCCAGTACTGTCACCCGACCAATCCGTGCGGGGTAACGTCTGGGTTCAGCAGCAGCTTGTCATCGTGCGCTGGGCGTGGCTTGCCTTGCCTACAGTCTTGCTTCTGTTATCCACGCTATTTCTAGTCGCTGCCTTCCTAGAAACACACAGAAGCGGTGTCGGCCTGTGGTTGTCAAGCCCACTCACGCTCTTTTTTCATGCACGTATTAGTCACGAAGAACGGCAAGCTCTCGTAGATGTTGGTTTTGAATCACTCAACTCCGTGGAGTCGATGCAAAAGGTTTCCCAACGTCTGAGAGCAAAGATACCAAAGGGTTCTGCTGGGAACATTGAAGTACGCATCAAAGAAGATGCGAGATGCCAAGAGGAGGTTGAGCTGGCGCATCTGCGTGGCCCTGGTTCGGCCGACGGTTCAGAGGCAGACAATATGAGGGAACCGACTGGCCGGCTAGTGCTGGCCGCAACACCAGCAAGACCTGGAAGAAGCAGTAGCTTGGCTTGAGGGCAGGATCACACGAGCTATGGCACAGAAAATCGTTCTCGCTAGAATTGGAAGGGGCGTGGGCGCTGTGAGCACTTTAATACGCCTCTAAGCTACGGGAACAACGCGTCAATACATTGAGCACCTTGAATCAGGGTAATAGATATGTACCCTGTGATCAGCGACGTGTTTCATTACTAGCTTCTTGTATCTCGACACTGTCGACTAACGATCATGAATTATGAGCTCAGTGAGATCAAAACTGATCATCAGTGCATTTTGTGACCACCGCCGTCCTCCCTCCCCTGATACATTGTAGTCGACCTACGGTCTACACGTCCAGTTCCCTGGCAAGTCATTTCATCAAGAAGACCCCGTCCGTGGAGGCCACACCCCCACTTTCTTTCGACCGACGCCGGGAAATTGGGTCCTACCAGAGCACAAGTTCGGTTCGTTATGCTTGGGCCTCTTGTATCCAGTCTTGGGGATGCGGTTTTTGGCAGGCGCTTTGGAGCCTTTCAGATGATCTGATGGACGAGGAGTCATGTGATTCTTTTGAGCGACCGCAGCTCTCTTCAGCTTTGACGATGACTGGGATGAATTCTCAATGTTATCAGCCTTGAAAGCGATACAAGGCTTGCCAGGCTGGACTTGACAGGACGGGGCGCAAGCTGTCTCGTCAAACACTCCCTCATCGCAAGTATATCTGATGGTTCGGCAACGTCGGCCGTCTGATGAGCATGTGCTTGTTCCCGCTGGGCATGGTCCCCAAGTGTCTGGGCTTCTAGGGCTGTGCTTGGCTAGAACCTCGCCAGCTGGGAGGCCGTTGTCGGTGGATGGATCGTGATCGACAGTGAAGGTTACTCCAGGCCCTGGGGCTGGGGCCGCAACTGCAGACGAGTCTGGCGGGAGCTTGTCTCTGCCACCTTGCAAAGCGTACTCCGTCGAGCCCTCCACACAGATACTCGAGTCCTCAAATGCAGCGCGGAAAAAGTCATGCCAGAGAGCGGTCATGTTGTAAACATTGTCGAGAGTAAAATACAGCCTGCAGTCGGCTGGGTCGTAGCGAAACTGGAGGGGCATAGAGGTGTCGTCTTTGCGCAGCTGATCACGAAGGTTGAATGAAACGTGATCAATAAAGATGCGTGTGTCGTTCCTATTGGGAGGAAGCAGGGGCTGGACAGCTTCGTCCTTTGCGCGATCCAGCTCATTTCATCATCGAGTAAGCTGCCAGTATAAACGCGTGCGCCGCGGCTTCCACTGGCTGCTTGCATTGGACCAGACGTCGGAGCACCTCCTACGACGACGGTGCGGGCGCCGGCTTGGTTATTTGCCAGCTCAAGAAACAAGGCACAGGCTGAGGAACAAGTCCCGTCGGTGAGCTGCGCATCGCATGATTTTAGACGGTGCCGTTGTATTCTGGAAATCTTGGCCTGCACTTACGATGACTACGCTTTCAGGCTTCCACATCACTCTAGTGTTTTCATCATTGTCGTTCAGATACCGATCGAGGAGCCACCCGTCAAATGCGGCAATATGAAAGCTTGGATTCTTCAGGTCGTATCGCTCCTGAAAGGTGCAATAGTCAGCGCAGAAACTTCAGTAGAAAATGCGCATGACCTACCACGAGTGAAAAATCGTCATCAACCTGTCGTCTGGGCCCCTCATACTCCTCCCATGAAGTGAAATTATTTTCAGTCTCGTCATTGATCCGCGTCGCAACCACCCACTCGTTTGCCACAAGCTCCGACCTCTCATCGGTATTGGCTGCGAGGCTTTGCCAGTATCGCGTCGTGGCCGAACCTAACGTATTGCCGAGCTCATGGCTGCGTCGCTGGCTACCTGCGAAAGGATCGACACCAGGAAAGAATTCGCGAAAGAGCAGAAGCGCAATACCTGTCGACCCGCCAACATTCTTCTGAAGGTCGATGATAATATGCGACAGTTTTCTTTCCTTTGCTCCAGTAATGAACTTTGCAAGCGACTGGGCAAAGCTCTCCACCTCGAGCCCATACTGGTTGAAGTGGGGTATACTCAGTACACCTGTAGACATGTCTTCATAGAAGTATCCGGTAAGAATCCCGCCTTCGTAAAGACCGAGATCCTTCTGGGCAACATCTGGATTTGCTGGAAAGGCATGAAAGCTCGCCTCATACCAGCTACTGCCTGACGCTCCGTCTTCGGCTGCACCATCCGCTGGGGCATCGTCCGTTGCACCATCCGCGATCACGTCTTCTGTACCAGATGAGCCCCCGAAAACTTCCGGGAGCGAAACATTGTAGTATGAAGCAGGCAGCAGACCGAGGACGAAGAAGTTGTAGAAGTCGCCTGGAGTCTCCAAAGGGCCTGTAAACTCTGCGATGTTGTAGACGCAAGCCAATATAACTCCACCTTTTCCAAGCTTGTGTCCTCGAACGAAAAGGTGATGGTTTCGCCCGGAAAGAAAGTGCTTGCGCCGGCGAAGATGCTGAATATCCCCTGAATGTCTTCGACAGGGCTATCCATAAGTTCGTTCCAGTCGGCGTGGGGTTCGAGCATGCCAACTGACTGCAGCGACCCAAATCTTGCCAGATACTCAGCGACTGGCTCGTCATTGATGTGCGATATAGCGGATATCGGGGTCTCGAGATTGTTCTCCTGGCGATTGAGGATGTCATCTGCGCGTCAGAGGTTAGCAAGCCCGCCAAGGTCCATATCCCTACATGCGAGATCCTGCATACCTGCAAAATATATTTTGGGCGTCTCTTTCCCATCAACCAATGCCGAAACCAGAGAAACCAGGCTTGCGAATGAGAACACAGATAAAATACCCGCGTACAGGTCGACATAGGCATCATTCACAGCATAAACCAGGTATTGCAGAGCAACTTCAAAGTCGTACTGTCTTATGAAGTACCCCGCTGTGACGTTACGCTTGAGCTCTTCAAGGCCACCCATAAAGTCGAAGGCGGGCTGCTGGTATCCCGGAGGTGGGTTCTTCAAGTGCGCCAGAGTGCTTTGGAACTGCATCGTCGTGTTGTAGTATTCGATAAAACGGAGCGCTGGGGCCTGATGGAATGGAACGCTGATCAGGCAGTCGTATGCATCGATCGCATAAAAGGCGTTGAATTCTGTTGGTGTCAGCTCTCCTCGTTCAATACATACCCTGAATACTTAAGTTGGTCTCACCTTGGTTGACTTCGTCAATGATGACTCCGCATACTGACAAGTGCTCGACCTCGTCGACGGGGGCCTCTTGACGACGTGGAAGCTCTCTTGGCGAGCGGACAGACGGTCGTGCGAGAGCAAGGCCGCAGCATGTGCTCAGTAGCACTGTGAAATATTGGAGAAGCATCATTTGTGTCGAGAGCTCTACGTAACCAAACGAAAGACTGACTGGGTTGAAAAGGAACTGTACCACAAGGTCTCCCACAAACCTCAATTCCAAGTGGTGGACAATGTTACTTTTTCATGTCTATTCAGTTGACTGTCGCAGCCTGATCAGAGACAGCGTTTGTTGCTGACTCTGGGTTCCGGGTACGCTTCCCGTTCATCTTCAGCGCAGTTGTTGCTTGGTACTTCTCGAAATTAGGCCCTGGTAGGACGTGACCCTCCGAGGCCTGTCATTTGGCCCTGGATGTTCCAGTTCTATTGCAACATTATCCCAGCTCAGAATCCTACCACGCAAATTCTCACAGCTGGATGGACCGTAACGTCTAGTACCTTGGTAAAAAAGAAGCCCCTCACAGAACCAAGCACACTGACATCCTTCATTCATCATCAAATCCAGGCCCGCCTGTGTATGGCATCTACCGGGGGAAAAAAGCACCGCGCTTACAATATTTCAGGGGTATGGGTATGCTCCGGCTTGGCAGTCAAAGTTGCGTAAGGCTGGCGGCCGCCGACTCACTTACCCAACAAGACATCTTCTTTTTTAAGTGGAACTACCACACATGACCTGCATGATGCCCAGAAATTAGAGTCGGTCAGACACGAGGGCCGGCAAAAGACTGGCCCAGCCTGATCATTTGAGAGTGGCAGAACAAGCAGTTTGAGACTACGTAGTGTTCTCATGGCTTTATTGTGAAAACTCCCGGGTTTCTCTGAAGTCTGGAGTAAATACAGAATCTCTGCGTTGTAGCGTAGAAGTTGATATAGAACATAAAGAATGAAATCACCTGCTGATGCACTCAGTCCTGGGTGGAAAGACCAACTACGTGGGCACCCGATGAGTGGAAGGTGCTGCAAGGCGCAGGCCCTTGTAGGTGCATGGCTTGACCACCGCCTTTCCGGAAGCAGCGCGTCGTAACAGCCACCCATGATTCATCTGGATGAGCATAGACAAGCAATCAGCCGAATCAGGCTGCTTGCTGCCTACATGTGTGACCTGCACCTAACCGTCGAGTGTGGTGTCACGAAAGCCGAAGACCCTTGCCTCTAGGGCTCTTGTTGTGTGAATCCACACTGCTTACATCCTCCGTGCAGGCTATGTTTGGCTCGCAGTTTTGATTGGAAGGATCTTCGCGCCCATGAGACACCCAGCTCTCTCTGCAGACCTCCGAAGCGCTGGTCCCCTGTTCCCTTTCTATCTCAACTCGGATGATTCATTCCGGATATTGATGTTCGACGCCGCCGTTCTGTTGAATCTTTCATGGAGCCCGTGTATCGCCCGTTCTTCAAACTCTACCATCCCGGGTATGAACGACATTGAGGAAAGTCTCTGCTCACCCGGGAGAGACACATCCACAGATGAACAAAAAATGCACCTTGCATTGAGCGAATGGCAGGAACCCACCGTGGATACATGGCCGCCACTTGAGAATGAAATCTCGAGCGGTGCTACCTTCCAGTGTTGGCACAGCCATCCTAACGAAAATTGGATGATATGGTTTTTCGGGGCTCCGGGCTCTGGGAAGGTAGAAGAGATACTTCTTTCTCTCCCTAATTACATCCATGATTCTTGAATCGGCAATGTCAGGCCAGGGATCTTCAGATCTCCTCATGATTCTTTACTCCTACGTTAGAGACGGCCACGCATTGTTCCACTGAGTATTCTATGCTAATCACAACGATCTTTCTCGTTACTTCTAGACAACACTGTCAGCAATGGCGACGAAAGCGCTCCGCCGTATTTACAGTGGCGAGATGAATGCCGTCATGGCCGTTTTTCTGCGAGACGATGTTACCGCTGGAGGCTTCCTAGAGAACTTTCTTTTTAGCATATTTCGACAATTACAAGCCAGGCGTACACAGAAAGATGCAAGCGAGAGCCACTTGACAAAGCACCAACATTACCTTGATGCTAGGAGGGGAAACAGTTCCGAAAGACTTCGAGCCCAGCTCTTGCGAGAGGCCATTTACTTGCGTCTTGACCAGCTGTCTCGAGCCTTTCTGGTCATTGATGATGTTGACAGATGCAGCGCCACCGCCAGCCTGTTACTTGAAAAGGAGCTCTCTGATATGGCAGCACACGGCTTGAAGGTTTTCCTCACATCACGCGTTCCTAGCCTCAGGAGACTTCCACCAAAAGTCAAGTGCGACTCATGCCCAAAGAATGGAACGGAGATCATTGTGTATTGGAAATGCAAGGGTTGTGTGGAAAGAGGCATCGAGCCGAAGAATGCACATGTACTGTGTCAAGTTTGCAGAGATGGCAAGAAGCCGTGTAATTCTGGGTGAGTCGTTTTGGAACTCATTCCTTTTGCCTCGACATCTTTCTCTCAATTCCATACCCAACTAACACCATTACGTGCAAGTTCTCTACTTGGCGATTCTGCACTTTCATCTCGCCTGCTTTTTGACAAATATTGGGAAGAAATAATGCTGACACCTTTCCCAAACATCAAGCTGTGATCCGTCAAACTTCGTCCAACCGTTCGACTACGTCGAGGTGAATCTTTATTACCATAATCAATTCAATCGATACATTGACTGGGACCTGGAGAGAGAGCACAGAGACCTCGGCCTTGGCAGCGGTGTCCAAAGCCTGCCTCCACATTCCGAGCTAGGCAAACGGATTACGGAACCGCAAAACCACGAGGCACTGAAGGAACTCCCGGGGAGAATTGTGGAACAGGCCGAGTTGAACATCAGTCTTGCCCGTTTACGCCTCGAAAACCTTCATCGAGCACATCCTGCAGACGTTATCAACCCAACGGTGGCGGATGTTTTACCAGCCAATATCGTAGCTTTCTTTGATGCCGGTATGAAGCGTATCGAAGAGCAGGCACCACCTCAGCGTGCGCTAGGCCTCCGCGTTACTGCTGCAGTAACGAACTTTGACTTCGATCAACGTGGCCTGGGTTTTGAGGTCCTGGATGAGGTTCTCCGCAACGCAGAGCGACCAAATGCTAGACATGAAGCAAACAGAACGCATTCAGCACCAGTCATGTCGACGACTGCGCTTCCCAAAAGCGACGGAGAGGATGAAGACGCTCATGTGCTAGGTCCAAGACTCAGAGAAATGCTACATGCTACGCGCGGTTTTGTGGTGGTTAAGCCCTTCGCAGACTATCCGATGGTTGCTTACTGTAAAACATTTCATATGTACGCGAAGGAGAACTACAATGAGGCTTTGATACAGGCTCGAGAGGGTCTTGATTTCCGAAGGATACAGTTCGATGCTTCTGGTCTTGGTCGCTTAGTTGAGTCCGGTAGGTAGCAGGTCAGCAATCTGCGGAGGCCGAGGGTTGCACGCCGTCATGTATGTACCAGGTTAGAAGAAAGAGATAATCCAGTCACCCAAAATGCCCATAACTCTAATCGTGAGAAAGGAGTAAGCGACGGATGTGAAATGCGGCTCCCGCCCCTGAAACCATGTCTGATCTAATGTACAAATACCTGCTTCTCGTAGCCTGCCAGGGTTGGCTCCTCGGCCCCTCAGCACCCTGGCCACTCCGGGCCCCTGCAGGGCACACTCCTTGCTGACACCTCTAAGGAAACAAGCCAGAGCCTCGTATGTCATCTTTATTTAGTTTCTCATCTCCCCATTACACCTCAGGCGACGTCTTGCATCAAAGCAGACGTTAACGCACGATGGCCATCTGCGAACTCTGCCGGAAGAACGTCCTCGAGTCAAAAAAGACATGGGACCATCATCACATCAACACCGATACCTTCAATGATGCCGCAGACTCAAACTGCACTTTTTGTCGAAAGCTAGGCGGGTTTATCAAGGCCCTCAGATTGAAGCCTCGTGTTGACCCATTCTATCGGTGGGCCATGCGTGAGACTGCCCAAATCAGGGAGACCAAGAGCTACATCTCTATCACTTTCCGTCCGGTATCTAGTCTGGACCACGAAGCATATATGGGCGACCGGCTTCCAGAAGTACGCTTTGATATGTAACCCGAAGAAGGTTTGCGTTTTGGCTTCTTCGTATCAAGCCAAGATCCTGACGTCTTTTAGACTTAGGTCCCATTCCGAGTGCGGAATCATTTGGTGATAGAACCGATTCGGAAGCGTCTCGGAGACAGATGAATACTTGGCTACACGACTGCAAGGATAATCACCCGAAGTGCAAGGCCCGCCATCCCGACCGCAGCTTCATGCCGACTCGCGTTCTGGACATTGGCGTCCCCGGCGCTGTGTCACCATCACATATTCGCGTAGTCCAAACTAAAGAAGAGACGATCGAAGACCATAACAGACGCTATATGACTTTAAGTCATTGCTGGGGCAGATCGGAGTTTGTTCAGCTCACGGCAGAGAATTTAGCCAGCTTCACATCGACCAGGATCCCGTGGGAAAACCCTTTTTCCGAGACTACCAAAAAGGCTATCTGCAGCAATAAGAACTTCTCCGAGGCTATTATAATCGCTCGGGACCTCGGAACACGTTAGATCTGGATTGACTCTGTTTGTATCATCCAAAACGATACGGACGATTGGGAGGCTGAGGCGAAGCTCATGCACAAGGTGTACCGGAATTCCTATTGCAACCTCGCTGCTGCTGATTCGAAAGACTGCCATGGCGGACTATTCCGAGTTCGCGCCAACGACGTGCTGCCCACCAAATTTGTGTCTGAACGCTTCTCCCGCAGATTCAGCAACCGCAGCTGGAGAATAGTCTCCTCCGATCTGTGGGACAGAGAGCTCCTTGGAAGCCCTCTCTATACCCGTGGCTGGGTTTTCCAAGGTATTGCCTTCCTCATTCTTTGTTTCGCTGTTTGCGGTTTCTGATGTAAATAGAACGAATGCTTTCTCCCCGCCTTCTCCAATTCGGCCGGGACCAACTGTTCTGGGACTGTGCAGCCATCTCCGCGTGTGAAGCTCTTCCTGCAGGGTTCCCGCTTTCCATCGACGAAAAGGCTGCCACAGACCGATACTGGCGTCAACGCCTGCAAGAGGCCGACATTTCCGTGCGCTCGCATGTAAAAGTCTCCGAAGGCTCTCTCGAGAAGCTATGGAAGAACGTGGTTAGGACCTACACCTCCTGTAACCTCACCAAGCACTCCGACAAGTCCAATGCTTTATGGGGTATCGCGAAGCTCTCGCGAGACATACTATGTCAGGAGTACGCCCACGGGTTGTGGTCGAGCTCCCTGGAAGAACAGCTTGCATGGCGGGTTGCTGGTGGTCCCAAAGTGGTGGACTATCAGACTGAGGAGACAGACGAGAAGCAAAACGAAACATCAACTATGACTCAGAAGACACCCCAGAAGGAGGAGACCTCCTTTCCAAGTTGGTCCTGGACTTATTTGGACGTACCGATTCAAGTTGTACCGAGATTTCGCGAACGCCATCGGTTCTACAAGGTGACTGATCATGTCGGGGGCAGCATCGGCTTCCAGTTTGAGAACCCATACCGTGGTTGGTTACCGAAAGAGACTGTGCCTCTGAGCGAGAAGCTTGAGAACATGGCTATAGGGCCGGACAACGGTGACAAGTATCGAAAGGCTCAGCTGGCCAGTACATGGAGACCAGATGAAAGGTCGAAGCTGATATCTGACAAGATCCCCGTCCAGGGACATATTTTTCGAGGCACTCTGATTTCGATATCCGGAAAGGAAGGCTGGGTGATTGCCATTGATGGTATCCGGGGTAATGCGCTGATTGAGGCTTTTCCGGACATTCAACCATCTCATAACGAGATTTCGTGCGAGTTTCTTGTTCTGGCGGCGTCTGGTGTAAAGTTCGACGAGCTGGGATGCGAGATTGGCGAGATTGGCGATGCTGAAGATGCTGATGACGCGGAAGACGATGATGAAAAGGAAGACGAACTGGATGATGACGAACTGAAAGATGACGACAGATTCGTCGCTGGGAATGACGGCGACATCCATTATTCAGGAGTGGGGATCTTAGTGAAGCGAGTTGGGGTTGACCAGTTGATGAGATTTGGGGCGGTTGCTTTCCGGCAAGTATGTTTGCGCGACTGGATTCACTTTCGTTTGGCTTGCGGTGCTAGTGTTGATCGGGAGCTTGATGCTCAGGACGGAGTGAAAATGTGGCTTGTATAAGTCCTAGTCTGCTAATTACAAGGGTGATGGATTGATAAAACCAATACATTCTTCTTGATGAACTCAATTAGATTCTTAGAATCGCCACGACAGGTGTCTCTCAAGCCAGGAGGAGGTGGTAGGCCGGCGGAAGACAATACACCTAGGCGGCGAAGCGAGACCGAAACGGCACCGGGGTCGGACTCGGACCCGACGGGACCCACTCTCGCAATACCCCACTTTGGCAGGCCCATTTCCCCAGCCACCCGTTCTACAGTCTGAAACGATTGGCTTATCATGACTCCGGGCCTCCCTTCCGATGCGTCCAGGGCTGCTCCCTTCATATCACTGACTTCCTCAACCGAGATTTAGAAACATAAAAGCAACGTTCTTCTCCTCAAAATCTCTTGTTGAGTCTTTTCCGGTGTTGCAACCGACTCATCCGATCACTCTTGGCAAGCAGCCCCATGTGCACGCCGATCGACGCGTCCAAGTGGACATGGATGCTTTCCTGAAGCAGCAGGTGCCATCGCACAAGGACGGCGAGCAGGATAGCATCTCTTGGCACTCAACACGCACCTCCCCGCCTGGTGAACCGCCATGTGCGACCAAGATGCAGGAACCGGGGTCATGGAAGGAGAAGGAGATAACGTTGGAGCAGGGAACGAACCATCATGAGGTCAGAGAAAGAAGGTCCGCAGTATTGTCTTGGCGTCCATCCGCAGTAAACATACTTATTCGTCATCCAGTTTCCGTCGCATTCGCGTCTTCATCCTCTCTCTGTTGACCTGCGCCAGTGTTTGGTGGTGGATCGTTCGCGCATCGCCCGTCAATTTCCGCCTCATCACCGACGAGATGAAGCTCAACGACGGCCGCAGCGGCCTCTCGGCCGTCCTCACAGCCGCGGTCGGGGCCTTCTTCGCCGGGCCTGTGGCCTTGGCTTCATCCGGCCCATACACGCCGTTCGAGCCAATTGACCCCCAGAATTGGGTGAACCCCGACAACATGACGTGGGACGACTGGGTGAAGCCGCCCGGCACGGACTGGTCGAACCCGGCTCGCAAGGGCTCGAACCGCAACTTCAACATCGCGCTTGTCGTCGTGGACTACCCGGACCGCAACTTCACGATCAGTCAGCCGGCGCATTCGACCATCTTCAGCAACCCGCAACCCGCTGCCGCTGACGTTGCCCGGGAGAAGGTTCCAACTTTCTATCGCGACCTGCTCAACACGCCGAATGACCTCAACCAGGGACACACGCTCCACGAATACTGGATGGAGGACTCGGCTGGGCGCTTCGGTGTCGATCTCACTGCCTTTGGCGCATATCAGCTGCCTGCGAACGGATATCAGTATGGTGTGTCTGATGACATGAATCCTGGCGCCTGTCCGACGGGAGAGACGTGCAACCTCAACATCCGGACGGATGCGCTGTCAGCCTGGCGCAACGACGTTGGTAACGACACGGCCGATGCTTTTGAGCTGGTTTTCATTCTCTCTGCGGGTCAAGACGAGTCTTCGACATGGCAGGAGTTCGGTGAGATGAAGTTCGACGGGCCTGAGGATGTTCCTGATGAATTCGGTCCTCCCAAGACTGGTAACACATCTCTTCCAAACTGGGCGCGTACTCGCTACGTTCCTTGGACATCCTGGGCCGCGGCTTCCACACTGTGGCCCAACGCCGGTGGTGGCTCGTCTACTCAGGGCGAGAACTCCGGCATGGCTGTCTATGCTCACGAGCTGAGTCACCTGCTCGACATTGGCGACAACTACAACAACCCATACGGCACCCCGTTGCGCAGAGCCTACACTGGAATTTGGTCCATGATGTCTCGAGGTTCCTTCAATGGCCCAGGCGGACCTCACACTAGGTGGCAGATCCCCGCCTTACAAGGCTCTTCGATGGGTTCGCTCCACACCCTCCGGGACAAGTTCCAACTGGGACTCATCGAACGATCCGATATCCTCTGGCTGTCTCGAGAGGCACTGGCTACCTCGGGAATCGCTGTCGCAGATTTGACAGCACGATCCGTGGATCCTGCTGACGGCCTGATGGGAATCCGCATCATCATGGATTCTGACCGGTCGCCGGCCTGCGATATCCAAACTGAGCCACTCTGCGACGGCGGAAGCTGGGACAACTACGACATCGAGGTTGTCGACCGCATGGGATCGGACAGCTTCACGCCCGACTCCGGCGTCCTGATCAGCAAGTCCAAGAACGAAGATAACCAGCCTTTCCAGTGGGTCATCGACGCGCACCCCGAAGACATTGAGCTTGTCGACTTCCACCGGCCCAACGGCTCCATCGCGATGATCACCATGGGCGACTACCGGCAGCTCGCGGACGCGCTGTTCCACGCGGGCACCGACTCCGGCAGCGAGTTCGAGTTCATTGACGAGGCCAACGATCTTCACTTTTACATCATTGACCGCCACCGGAACGACGACGGCGTTCTATATTACACCGTTGCAGTCCGTTCAATCGGCGGCGAGGGGGGTGCTAGCGTTCACGACATATCCCTTGAGGAGGGCCAGGTGACGGCTCTTGAACAGAACACGGCCACGACCCAAGGCGTCTCGTGTTCCTTCCAGCTTAGCAACAGCGGCGCATACGTGGCGGTAGACCCGAATGACGCACAACACCCTGAGGATGTTTCTGCGTTCCTCGCATCGGATGTCTACAGGTTGAGCGCCGAAGTCAAGGGAGCTGGCTGGCGGGTTGAGGTTCCTAACGCCTTGGTCACGGCCAAGTTTGGTGAAGCTAAGACGGCGTTTGTGTCGGTTGGTGCAAGTGCAGATGCTGCCGACGCAGCTTTGGTGACGCTAAAGGCCACCTCGGAGTCGGATCCTTCTGTTGCTGCAACGGCTCAGTGCAAGGTGTCGAAAGCTTGAAAGGGCAATGGCTCTTTCTTGCAGTATTACGACTGCAGTCTACTAATACCTAGAACTAGTATTGATAATACTAAACCTTGTGCATCACTTGTTTCTGTTCGTCGGTGACTGGTCGCGCAAGCATGCTCTGAAAGGTATCTCTCTTTCGTACATATGGTACTAATATCTACATAGAAATGTATATCACAGGCCATTACTTTTGAACAGCTCAGAGGCTGGGAATCGTCGCGTTCCCTTGGTAATCACCCTTCTGGGTAGTGAAGTCCTCAACGGTACCCAGAGACTTGATTCTGCCCAGCAACAGCTCAACCACACGGTACCCAGACCCAGCCGTGTACCCAGGCAACTCGTGGCCGGCCAGCTGGACCTCGTAGTACGTCAGGCCTCTCTCGTAGCCGAACGCGCCCACTACGCCGGCCTCGCTCAGACGGCCGTCGTTGTACTCGGGGTGGAAGGGCACGTAGAACTCCTGGTCCTGCGGGTACTTCTGGAAGCCCTGGAGGCCGTTCCAGGTCGTGTTCTGGAGCGCGAAGAGCGTGCCGTTGGGCGGGAGGATGTAGTCGAGGCGGCCGACGCCGATGATGGTGTTGTTGGTGTGCTCGATGACGCGCTGCAGGACCTCGTTTTGCGCGGCGGCAGGGGAGGTGTCGCTCGAGTTCGAGTTGGGGTCGCCGCCGCCGAAGACGTTCTTGGGGGTGCACTGGTACCACGCGACATGGGGCGCGTTGATTGCGTCTTGGACGTCGGTGCGGTTGAAGTAGACCTGCGCGCCCTTGGGGCTGTAGTCACCCTGTAAGACCATAGTTAGTAACTTTGCTGGACAAACTGGTGGGTAAGTGGATGACGTACCTGGTTCACGATGCCAAGCTGGGAGTACGTGAAGGGACACGTGTCGGTGATGTGGTAGATGTTGAAGCACGGGTTCGCGTCGAGGGCACCCTCGTAAGCCCAGTCAAACATGTCACACGTGTAGTTGCCGGAGGGGTCGCTGTACGGGTCGGGCAGGACGGGCCAGGGCCCCTTGGGCGGGAAGGTGGCGTACTCGTCGAGGTAGCTCGAGTAGTTGCAGTACTCGTGGGTCCAGCGCAGGGCGTTCATGTAGGTCTGGTTGAGGTTGAAGATGTTCTGCCAGGACTCGATGAAGGGGTAGATTACGGCCTGCTGCTGCAGGGTGCCGTCGCCGATGATGGGGTCGTTGATGGCGACGCCGCCGAGCTTGTAGTACTTGTCATCCTCGGCGGTGATGAAGGCGTCGGCGATGTAGGGCACGTAGTAGCCGGCGTAGGACTCGCCGGTGATGTAGGTCGTGGCGCCCTCGAGGCTGAACGTGTCGATGAAGTTGCGCCAGAAGCCGATGAACTGGAGGCCGAGCTCGACTTCGTTGGTGATGTTGGGCGTGCCCTGGCTGTAGCCGACGCCGACGGGCTGTTCGACCCAGATCACGTTGGTCCTGGGGTTGCAGGTCAGCTTAACGAGCGGATGTGATGCATCGTGGGTCTGTCTTACAAGTTGGTCCAGCTGTAGGAGTTCGGTGTGGGCGCAAGGGTGCCATCCTGCCACAGAAACGGGCCGTTCTCGGTAATCAGACCGCTGAGGGAGCTGCATCCCGGTCCGCCGTTTAACCTGAGGGTTCATGTCAGAAGCTTCTTTTCGTATCTCACGCGACATAACTCACCATATAAGAACTTCCTTGCCCGCATCGGGGTTCGTGCTCGGGAAGAACCAAAAGTACAATTGTCTCTCCTCATTGGGGTCCTGAGAGATGGGCAGCAGGCCGGCATAGGACTCTCCAACATCAAAGTTGACGTCCGGAATCGCGGTGCCGTTCACGACAAACTTCTTGGACTTCTCAGTCAAGAACTTGGACGTGTCGCGCTTCTCGACGGGCTGCTGCGCGGGAGAGGGGATGCGCGTGTGGCCCTGTCGTCGCGGGTGCTCGCGGTTGAAGGCATTGAGGGCGCCCTGGTTGAAGGTCGCCTGGGACAGTGTCCCGAACGCCAACAGTGCGCTGACGAACTTGAGATGCATGGCGATGGTAGCTTCAATGATCCCGTTGTTGGTCGCGATGGATGCGCCAAGAACCAACAGGCTTGGCGCTAGGTCTTTATATAGCGGGCTCCTCCAAGGTCGCAATCAAAAGGCAGCATTATCGTCGCCATCATCATCATCATCCACTCTGTTGATAAGACTCGCGCCATCTTTCGCGTTGATGTCACAACAGTAGGTGACCGGATCACGGCACACGTTGTGGACGTGGAGATCTCAACGGTGAACCGCTGTTTATTCGCTTGTCTACCGGACACTTCCCCGCATCGGCAATGTCGGCATTGGGGGCCATGGTCCCTTTGCTTATTGCGCGAGGTTGGTCCGGGGCAGTTGGGGCAGGTGAATTTGCGTACGGATAGCGTCGGGCGCAAGAGCTCATGCGAAGTGCCGATCGAAGACACGGTGCGGGAACAAAAGTCCCCCGTATTCCAGGGTTTTCGCGAGGAACGGCCTCTGCGCGCGAAATTGTGAACCGCCATTTCATGGTAGTGCAGCGCTACCCCGACCTGCCTGTTCAGGAAATTAGGTTCTGGCACGTCAGCTAGGCATAACCTAGCTTGCGGTGTTATCTTATCGAGTGAGGGTTCTTTTGTAGAACGGTCCAGGGTGGTGACATCATGAAGCTCATGTCCCTGGATATTAAATCGCAATCTTGTGAGTGAGGCATAAATGATTATGTGAGTTGTGATTGGATGCGGTCTCGACGGAACACTTTCCATGACACATGGTGGTTGAATCAAGCTCGCGGATCGGCTTGGCCGATTCGAAACCTCCGAGGAGCCGCCTTGGAGGATGAGCGTGGCGCCGGTAGGCTTGCCGCCAGCTGACTATGCCTGGAAGGACGTCTTGGATACGACGAACACATGCTATCTAAACATGGAAACTTGTCTTTCAGATCATCCAAAAGCCAGCGGACGGTTCAAAGCTCGCATGAGCTTCATATCACGTCACACGATGCACAGTGAGGGAGCTTTCCCTCTATGATTCTTCAACGAGCCTCAACAGATCAGCGGAATTTATGCAATTTACAATAGTATTGCTGGCAACTGTCTCACCAAAAGCAACATGCGGGGTGCTTGCGGTTCATGAACACATCGAACAAACGATTCGGTTGTTCCACCGCTAGGAGACCGCGCTGGAAACCTGCGATGCAACACTATCCAGCACCGAAGGTGGGTACACACCTCTTGCAGGTGAAATGAGATACCACGCCTTTGGCGAAGAGTCTTTACATTGCATCATCAAGTTGCCGTCGGAACATACTGCTCAACTACTGAATCTCGACTTGGGCAAGCTCACATTGAGCGAGACGGCGGGTCGAGCTCTGCTCCAGGGGATTGAATCCGCTGTGGGTCCCGCTAGGGATCACAAACTCGGAATCAGGTCACCCTGCCAGGTCCCTCACAGAGAGATCCAGTGGCTCAGATCGTCTAGTTGGTTAGGATGATACGTTGTGGTCTCCATCACTCAGCGATACCGTGTTGACGGCGGTTCGAATCCGCCTCTGAGCATCGCAATCCTTTTTGGGGTTTGTTCCTATTGTCGTCAACTCGCTTGAAGATTTTCACTTCATGCAAACTCCCACAGTCGTCATTACGCTTCAGTGGCATGACTCGGCACTCACATCGCACGTCTTAACGCGGAGCATTTTTGCATGAAGGGGGGAATTGAACTCTTCAAAGCCCTCGACTGTAGAGCCAAGCTTCACTGTAGTAGCCCAGGCCTTTAAGATCGCACGGAGCCGGACGCGACCGGCCGGCCCTTGTGCGGTAAGCCTCACATGGGACGGTGTTCATCAGATGCTTCTATTGAACTACGTGCTGTCAGACGAACTCTAGAATGCGCTGATTCGCCGGTTGCTTCTGGCTTCGCAGATGACGTGCGCTTCCTTCGAGGTCGCGCCATACCCCGCGCTGCCGGGGTTCGGCGCCGGCAACGGACCCTTCGACAGACACGCCGCTCGGACGGGCGGGTGGCCGGGGATATCTTGACCATGCATCTCTTAGTCCCGGAAAAATTGATCTAACTTTATGACATCTAATGACAGCGTTCAAATGAGACGACCATGTCGCAAGCACACACCTTCACCGAGATACCCCGCATAGACCTTTCCCTCGCGTCTGACCCCGCGACTGAGCCGATTCTTCTCGATCAACTCCGGGATGCGCTCATCAACGTCGGCTTCTTGTATGTTATCAATCATGGCGTTCCCGAAGTAACGATATCAAATGTCGTCGAAGCCCTGCCAACATTGTTCGGCCTGCCCGCCGAAGTGAAGGATGAAATTGCGCTGAGGAATTCCCCGCACTTCTTGGGATACAGCGGGGATGGATCAGAGACTACTGCTGGGAAGAGTGATCGTAGAGAGCAGGTCGAGTTCGCGACTGAGTTGGAAAATGTGTGGAGGGAGGGTGTGCCTCTGCGAGAAAGACTGAGGGGCCCTAACCAGGTAGGTTATCGCTGCGATGAGGATTGAGCTTGGCTGATGAGTGCAGTGGCCTTCTGGTTTCCCCGAGCTACGCCCAATCATCGAGGCCTACATTGCTGAGATGACAGGGCTCGGCCAGAGATTCTTACACCTGGTCGCAAAGGCGCTCTCGCTGCCACCAGATACCTTTCTGCCGTTCCTATCGGACCAGCATCGGCTGAAACTGGTTCACTACCCAGGGTTACCAGAGAGCGAGGCTGGAGGCCAAGGCGTTGGGCCTCACAAAGATTCTTCAGGGTGGTGGACTTTCTTACTGCAGGCTTCGCCGCCACATATCAAGGGTCTACAGGTGCTCAACAAGAACGGCGACTGGATCGACGTGCCTGTTTTACCAGGGTCGTTCGTCGTGAACACTGGCCAGGCCTTCGAGGTTGTCACGAATGGAGTCTGCAAGGCAACGACGCATCGCGTGCTTTCTGGCTCTTTAGAGAGGTTCAGCGTGCCCTTCTTCCAAGGTGTCAGGCGGGACTTGACAAAAGAAGAGGCAGTAGGGACGTTGAAGGAGCACTTCGAGAAGCCCGAGATCAGAGGTCTATCACTAGAGTCCGATGAAGGAAGGGAGATCGACTCGGCCTTCCTGAAAGGCAAGTATGACACGTGGGGTGAGAATCAATTGCGGACGAAGATTCGGAGTCATCGGGATGTCGGACAAAAGTTTTACGCAGATGTGTTTGATAAGTACCTCAACGATGACCAATAAGGATTCCACTTCACACCCTTTGCGACAGTCAAACCTTTAGCTAGTCGTAATATTTGGCCTTGACGCCTTTCACAATCTCCTGCTCAGAGATCTCGCTTCTCGCTTGCTTGTTCTTGTTGACGCCCGCCCGAACTCTAGCCTTGACCCACTCCCCTGCGGTGATACCAGCCAACTCCGAGTTGGCATTCGAGTCATATCCCAGTCGCTCAAGGACTTTACTTTGCACCGGTCTCAGCTCAAGACTATCCTCGGGACGAACAAAGTAGAGAACGCCCAAGCGATCAATACCAGCTTGGTCAGGAGGCGGCACCACGACTCGGTGGATGCTGCTCTTGAGGAAGCCATTTGTGAGGAACTCCAGAGCATCTGCCACGTTGACCGTGATGCTTCCATCATACGGCTTGACCCTGTCGCATCAGATTAGTTATGTCTTCGAAGAAGTGCATAGGCCGGAAACTTACCACTTCCAACCGCCATCGTTCCCACGAACTTGCAACGCTGCGACGGGTTGTCGGAACAGAAGGGTCAGGCTTCCGAAGTCAGTGTGGCCCTTGACCCAGACGTTCTCGAGCTTTGCATTCGTCTCATCATCGCGCGCGTGATACTTCATGTATCGCAGGTGGCAGTCTGACAGGGCGTCGTCGTATCTGTGTCGGCCCGCGAAGTAATCTTCCGGAAGTTCCAATATGATTGCGAAGAGAGTGAGAAGTTTCTGCACAATATTGTTGTGAATGTGGCGAGCGAAGTGTTCGATCTCCTTCTTGTTCTCGTTGATCACGTTTGGCTGAGGACGCTCAAAGGCTGGGATGAACTTGGGGATGTTGAAGATCTCGGTGTTGTCAAACACTCCTGGACGGACTTCCTGGAGGCACTCCTGTGAGTGACACGTCAATCATTCTGAGCATAGCAAACATACCCTTAGACCCAGCGGTTTGTAGCCGTTGTAACCCCCATTCTCGAGGTCAGCTCGGTACTTGAGCTTGTCTTCCGTTGGCAGCTCAAAGACAGACTTGCCGATGGCAAATTGACGGTCCACCTCTTCTTGACTGAGTCCAAAATTGACGATATAGAAAAAATCCAATATTTTGAATCGCATCAAATAGCTGTTTGGATAACGCCTCCTTGCCGCCCGGTTGGTCGAACTTGGAAAGATCCAAAGTTACAAGGTCTGCCCATTCCACTGCAAGCCGAGGTGTGAGCGAAGGACTCAGAATTTGAAGCCATCTCCATGCATACTCACGTTCATGTTTTGTTTCGGGGACTTGATAATACACAGGCAGTGAGGTCTTGTGCTCGCTAGCTGGTGCTCGTTGGACTGCAGCCGCCATGTCTGGCTTTCTGATCATGATTTACAATAGATTACTAGAGCTTTGAGTATTGGAATTGTTCCACGAGATGATTTCATGCGATTCGCCGTTCGGCCTCTTCATAACCCCACAAAAGCATCGTTGAGCCGTTCACTATCTAATGCCCGACAGATACACATTTCCCGTACTCGGCCCGCTGTCGTGGGAATGGGTGTGCATGGGGTACGGCATCCGCATCTCGTCATCGCGGGGTCCGATTGCGAATGCAAGGATTATCGTCGGACGTCGCCCGCTCATTGCAACCAACCTCACTCAATGACAACAGCTGCGGTTTGGATACCCATTGCCCTGGTTGAACGGCCCCCACGAAAGGATTGTTCATGAGGGAAACGGAGGATTTATCGCGGAGTTGCAGCCCGAACGCCTGCTGCATCCCACGCTGAAGAAGCGGCAGCGAATCATCCCTTCGCATATACCTTGCTCGCGATTCTAGCATTCGATGACATGATCGGGATTTTTGTCTGAGCTCGGCTGATGTCCGTTGGTCATTGTAATTTTGAGGATGATGCATGTCTTGGCACGTCGGTTATCGCCAAATCGACGAGGTGGGCATCGATGCCATTAAAACTCAACGGCAATGTTTTTCCCGCTTCCATGACCCGACCTTTGCATTCTACGTTGAAGCTTTCTTGATACCAGAGTCATCGTATTGACCCAATATGGCCGACTCAAAGGACATATCGACGCCGACCCAGTCATTGCCAGACCACGGCGAGCCCAGCAAAGCCGACGGACTGACGTTTGCCAGGCGCGGAGAGCAAGTGGACGAGACCACGGCAGTCAGCGATGTCTCCGGCTTCCACGCTGAACGCATGCGGGCGCGGTCACTTCTCACTGCCGCGGAGGAGAAGGCCCTCATGAGGCGCGTCGACTTCCGCATCATGACAATTTGCTCGCTGTTGTTTCTGATGAAAAACATTGACGCCGATAATATATCAAACGCGCGAATCATGAACAAGGGGACTTCTAGGAACATCATGACGCAGTTGGACATGACGTCGGATGAGTACAATTTGCTCAACGTTTTGTACTATGTAAGATGCATCCCGGGACGTGAAAGGTGCGAACTTACTGACGCAGAAAGGTACCATACATCGTTCTCGAAGCGCCTTCGAACCTGTTGTTGAAGAAGTTCAGACCGAGTGCTTGGCAGTCAAGAATCATGATCTCGTGGGGCATTGCTCTGCTTTGCCATGTGCCCGTCAGCAACAAGGGCGGCATTTATGCAACACGGTTCATACTTGGAGCAGTGTGTAACCCATGAAACTTCCAAATTAGTTTGATGCTAATTTTTCCCAACCTTTAGTTTGAGGCCGGAATGTTCCCGGGAGTCATTCTTCAGATGACATATTGGTACAGACCCGATGAAATGTCCATCCGTCTGCTTTATTTCTGTGAGCACCAGACCCTAGAACAAGTAGCTGAACTTGAGACTCACCATTACTGGAGATGTTCTAGGAAATCTGTCTGGGATCTTCAGCGGTATTCTGGCCTTTGCTTTTGACACGGTTTCCGGTAGCAGAGGGCTTTCAGGATGGCAGTGGTAAGTCTTGTTATCAGTAATCCAACGAAAGTGGTTAGAGCACCAACAGCATCTCCAGGCTATTTCTGGTGGAAGGCCTTATCACCATCGTACTAGGAACAGCTGTCTACTTCTTACTTCCTGATTGTAGGTTCCGTTGACTGCCTTGACATCAAAGGGTACCTACTGACACAACTAGTCCCACCGACCGCCAAATGGTTGAGCGACAAGGAAAAGGCCTTCATCCAAGCCCGACTACCAGCAAACGCACCAAGGGCCGAGGAGATGAACTTCAATTGGAGTGAAATCGTTGACTCGCTTAAGGATCGTCGACTCTGGCTTTTCACTGCCATTTGGGCTACTTTCACCGTCGGCACTTCTGGAGTCCGCTTCTACCAGCCAACCGTTATCGCAAACCTCGGATTCACCACGATTGCCAGGGCTCAGCTGCTCAACCTGCCCATCTCAATACTAGCAATCTTTGTCATTGGCGTCACCGGTTTCTTCGCAGACAAAGGTCTCATTCCGAGACCTCTATACCCTCTTGGAGTTTTCGCCGTTATTCTTGCCTGTTATGGAGTTCTCGTTGCGTACCCCTCCAACGGCGCCGTCTATGCTGCGACCCTCATCGGCAATGCCTTCACCGCCGCCTTCTTCCCGCTGATGTGGCCCTGGCGTGTGCAAACTACTTCTAGAGCTACAGGATCTGCGTTCAGTATTGGGTTTGTGAATAGTTACGGCCAGATTGGCGGCGCCATCGGCCCTCAGATTTTCAGATCGAAATACGCGCCGCGGTATCAGACCAGCTTTGCTGCTGCGATGGCGTTAGTCGGCTGTTGTGCCATCATCACCTGCATAACGTGGTGGGTTACGAGGAAGACGGAGTCGGATACTCGTCGGTTGAAGAGAGCAAGAGTTCGCGCCGAGAGGGAAGGATTGGCAGTTCTCGACGATGTCGTGGATCGTGACTTGAACAAGAAGCGTAGCGATGACGAGGAAAGCTCCTAATTAGATTATCTATAAGTATCAATATCTGGGATCATCAATCGATGAGTATGTACTGGCAGTTGATGATGAGTATGTACAACGCTATGCGCCGGAAGGTGTCAGACCGGCGAGTGAGTAGACTGTGGAACAGCGTTTTCTGATCCCTCACTACATGACGCGACCGAAATTTCTCTATGCTTCTGACTCTGTTCCGGTAACGAGACCATCTCTGCTCCATACGCAGAGTGTCGTCTGGATTTGGACTCTCCAATCGCCTTTTCCTTTGGCTTCATGAACAGTGTTCTCCACAGTTGACCGGCGTTTGGCATGCACGCAACAAATACGCCAACGCAGAGCTCGGTGAACGTCCAGACATAGACCCAAAGTGCTTGAGCTAAGACTTCGGTCAGCATCTTGAAATGATGGACATGTCGCGGACTCGCGGACTCGGACTCACATGTTACGTTGCTATCTGTCATGAAGCGGACCATTGTGTGGATCCGAATGGCGCTGACGGCAGTAAGGCTGGATTTTGTTAGTGATGAAGTGACGTGTTTGATGGATGTTAACTCACAACAATCCCACACTAAACATCAGCATGACTCCAATCTTTTTCCGCAAAATCAAATTCAGCTTGTAAAGCTGCGTCAACGGCAAAATCAGCATCCAGACGTCCAGGATGATGTTGATGATGGCGTTTGACAAGATGAATCTGTTAAAGTCGAGGCATCTCTCGTTCTTGTAGCTCTCATTCTTATCCCAGCCTGTCCAATACAGCGACAAGGGTCGGCACTGTGCAAAGGTCAGGATTATGTAAATGAGTCCGACAAGAAAGTTGAGACCATGGGTGGCCCAAATGATTGTTCGGAAGCCGCGTGTTGGGAAAATTCGAAGAAAGAAGAACAGCACTGATGCTTTGAGGGTCATGAGCCCTACAACGTAGAGGATTTGTGTCGCAAACAACATCTTGAGGTTTTCAAATATTAGCCATTGCGCTGTTCTAACATAAACCTTACAGTGATTGTCTTATCAAGCGGTTGCTTACCTGAAGGAATTCAACCATCTTGGTGGGCGTGACTGTCCATACAGGATTTCCGAGACCGATGTTCAAGGCTTTAAAACGGTCAGCCAAATGTACAACAGCGAGGGGTTTTGAATCAATCACATCGATAAATCAAGGGCACCAAAGGAATAGTGCAAACCTGCGCTGTCCGCATCAGCAAGGTCCCGGAGCTCATAATGGCGGCCCAACTGACGTATCCAGTGATCGCCATGAAATCATCTGCACCCCAAGGGAGAGGATTTAAGACTTTGTTAAGTATTCTGATGCCGATGAACAAAGTTGGCAATGCAAACAGTATGCCAGTGAGATATCGCGGAAGGGCTGTGTTGTCCGCAACCGTCACTCCACAGGCATTTGCCGAAACTCTCACGGAATCTGCGTCCAACATTAGCAACAACTCCGCCCCTGCTAGGCTGAAAGGCTCTCACCCAAAAGCTCTGCCATTGTGCAGTTCGCCTTGATACAAGGCGCGACTAGATCCGTGAAAGTGGTGTCGGCGCAGAGGCAAGCGGCGTCGAGCGCGCGGCATGGCGACCTTGGTAATGCGTCCATCACACAGATAACCTGGCAAAATGTGAGCCATATTCGTATTGGTACGTAATCAGAGAACCTCGGAACCTACTGCGCAGTTTGGATAGCTCGAATAGCCAAACCCGGTCACCATTCTCGCGCTGGCAGCCAACGCCGCGAGGAGGTGGGATTTCCTCATGATTCCTTCGGCTCCGGGAGTCGTGTACGAACAAAATGACGTTCAGATTTCAAGACAGGGTTGCGGGGCTCACTCCCAATATCTATGCGAGGATTAAGTTTCTGGCAAAAGTGGCGACCGAGACACTGCCTCGCTGGCTTACGCCGGAGAAAACGAAACAGTAAAAGCATAGGCGCACCGGCGCGAGCCTCAGATCATCCATGGAATGAACAAAGCGCTTCTTCTGCGTGAGATTTTCATCGGTGTTAAGATGCTGGGAAGGGGAAGCCGCCGAAGGAAGGATGTCCGCATCCGTTCAAAGATCACAAATGGTCACCGGACGATTCAGCGACACCCAATGAATGTGAAAGAATTATGGAGGATCTAGGCTAGGAACGCCTAGATCTGGGACCAGACCTCCGGAAACGGAAGGCTGTCACCAATGCGGAGAACAGACTCGGGCACCGGTACTCGGCTTGTCCAGTGTCTCACTACTTTGTCTCACCTCCACTGTTGAAGATTCCGTGAGACATGCGGCTAACCTGGCTCCTGGTGACGTGCACATCTCACCTTGGTCGTGAATTATCCTGCAGCCAATGCCCCAAAGGATGTTGGAATCCATTCACAGAAAGACAGACGACATACAGATCCGTCTGGGGCGTCCAATGTAAATATTTACAGAGCTTGTCTACATGAAGATG